TGGATAAACCAAACCCATTAGCTACAATATCAAATCCAAACGGGTGCCTATAGTCTATAGGCATTGGCTTATATGGTACAAAGTCATGCAATGGCATGCAACCGCATGCCCCCATGACGCGCAACATAGTACAAGAATTGCTAATCCTTATCCCTATTGCCATGTGTCTTCATCTAGCGTTATAGGTTAAGGATCAAGTGTCTAGATGAATGCTTGTAATGAGCCTTGGTAGTATATAAACCTCTGTACACGAAGGTTGCAACATTATAATCACATTGAGTGCAGAAACTCGATTGAGCTGCAAGATTTCTATTTTTGAAATTTTCTTTTCTTACTTTATGAACATGGGTATTGATATTTCCCTTTACCCTCCTCATCTTCTTCTTTGGTGTGTCACCTGGTCGTCGCCCGACCTCTAGAGGGCCGACATTGAGATCCTTCTCAGATGCTAGTCGAGATCAGTGTCCCTTTTGTTGTGGCTCTCTGCTTGTATTGGAGTTTGTATTGTTCACTAGGAGGAATATTTTTGTAGTTTTTAGTTTGTGTTTGTGTTATTGTATCTTTAGGCTATCTTAGTGTAGACCTCTTTTAATATTCAGCTTAGTAGCTTCTTGATTCAGTTGTTTCTTCTTGAATCGGTTGTTTCCGACTGTTCAAGCTTATAAATATTTGTATTATTAATATAAAGTTTATCGTTTAAAAAGAAAAATTACTTAAAATTTGATAAATTTTTCTTTATTTATATACTAGTACGGAGCCCGTGCGATGCACGGGTTGCACAAGTTTAAGGCCATTTATCCAGTCTTATAATTATATAAATGAATAAAGAAAAATGTACGGGATATATATATAGTACATGATCTATGCGAGACACGAGATATATTTATTTGGGGATTATTATACTATAAGATGTCATATTCAATAAAAGTTTTACAATACACGAAAATAAATATAAATAATGTAAATATCTAAACACATACACGATATGTAGAATAAATAAGCTAAATTGCAAATCTGAAAATATAATTTAAAAAATAATTGAAAATATATTTCACTAAACATGTACAAAAATATCTAAATACATACACGAAAATATATATATATATATATATATATATATATATATATATATATATATATGTCTCAAATTTCGAAATTACAACAAAAATTCAAATAAATTGGCTTACAGTTTTATCATGCAGAATCAACTCGAGATATGATTTGTATGTGCTTCCACAACCTTGGAAAAACATTCTCACAATTCGAACTTTGAGCATAGGTCTATTAGACCCATAGACTTGTTTGATTAACCAAAATCCTTGATTCATTGTTTTGAATAAAAGACTGATTGGGGATATTTTTTGTTCGCGGGGGGTTGACAGCGAAGAAGATAATGGGTAGAGTAGATATATATTGTTAATATTTTTATTAGAAAATCTGAATCTGAATATACAAAAATCAGTTTGTACAAAATCACAACAGATTTCCATACAATTAGATAATAAATAAAGCTTTTTTTTTTTATTTTAGTAAAGATTTTACGTACTTTTTTTTTTACTTATCGAATGTTATGGGGTTTTTTTTTTGTTAAACTGATTTTATGGGATATAATACAAATAAAATTAGAGGATTGAATAAAATAAGAACAAATTTTCATAAAATTAGATAATAAGAAGGAATTAGATAAAGAAAAGAAGAAATTAGATAAGAAATTTTGAATCTGCCTTTTTTTTAGTATAGATAGACTTTACGTACAAATTTTGACTTCACCGATTTTATGGGATTTGTTTTGACAAAATCGATGTTAATATGGAATAAGACAAATAAATAAAGTATTTTTTTATTTTAGTAAAGATTTTACGTCCTTTGTTTTTTTACTTATCAGATGTTATGGAATTGTTTTTTAAATTGATTTTATTAGATATAAGACAAATAAATAAAATAATTAAATATAGTCTTTGGTTCGGGTTTGAAACAAATTATAAAATTCAGGATAAAAATAACAATGCATTAATTACGTTAACTTTTTTAACTTACTAAATTTTGGTAAATATGATATCTTATTATATAGATATAGATTGATTTATTTATTGTTCTAACATAGATGGCAAAAAGGCTTTTTAAATGCGTTAAGATTAAAACCAAAGTAATCATTAGCAACCAAGGAAATAAATAGTTCGTTAAAGTTGCCGCTATTTGAGAACTAGTTTTTTATTTGTATTCATGTGCAATTTAGCCGCTAATCTACGCTATAGCTACAGTGCCATAAACGTTTTAGCCCGTTATTTAAAACCTTGTTAGCAACTTACGAGCTTAAAAATAAGAAGAAGAAAAAGAGAAGTTTATAAATTTGTTCTTCTCGTTCTCTAAATTTTTACTTTTTTGAACACTTATAAAATTCTTTATCAACTTCAATTTCAGGAAGGTTCACTGAATTATCAAGAAAGGTAATTCTGATTCAAGAATTATTAGAAGTCTGTGTGCTTCTTTCAATCTTCTAGAAGGTACAACAAATCTACTATGCTTATTAGAAAATATTGATATAATAATAATAGTTTGTAATAGTGTACGTTTGGTGACAAGTAGGATGAAAAGTGTGAGTGCCCACAAAAGTCAAAAGTTTTATTAGTGTACATTTCAACGTTCTTTCATATGTGCTTGATTTTTGCTCAATTTGGCCAAATATAGATGTTGATTTTTGTAGATTTTATCTTGAACTAGTACAACACCCGTGTATTACACGGGTGCTTGCTAATTTATTTTTCTTAAAATCTAAAATTAATGAGAAAAAGTAGTTTGAAAATTTAAATACCTTTTATAATAATATATATTATTATATATTTATTATGACACTTTTTATTTGTGCAACCTACTTGTGTTATATTATATATTTTTTTTTTTTAACTTACAATATATAACTACATTACATATAGATATATCAATTGAGAAATAATTTTATTTTCCTAATGAATTTTGATAAATATTATTATTATTTTTTTATTATAAAGATAAATATAATTTATTTATTTCATATATACAATATGGATGTCAAATCGAAGATCATCAAAAGATGATTAATTTGATATATTATATA